ATAAATGCATTTTCTGTCTGCTAGGAGCACAGTTATCGATTACAAATAATTTAATGGAAAAAGTTCCATTAGTTTCTGTCTGTGCACAAACATGTTGTCTTGATGTGCAAGCACTTTATTGGCATGTAATATATATTTTATCATATATTGTCTGTTGGCGAAAAGCTAATTATAAACTGCCACATATAAATTGGCCAGACTAATTTTTGTCTAAATATGCAATGTATAACAGGGTTTTAGAATAAATCAAATGCAAACTTCATACCAGCCTCTATTTTGTATATGTAGCCATCTTTTGGAATCATGCAATTCATATCCCAAAACATTGCTCAGTGTAAAATTGTGCAAACTTAAAAATTGAAGAATCTCTGGAGATAACAATGTTATTTTGTGAAGCAAAAGAAAACCTGACTCCACGTATTTTGTGCTTGTTGTCCCTCATTATCGCATTGCGGGCACCTGTTCCCCCTTATTAGGATGGTTCATCTTTTGTTGCGTGTTGACATCATTCCTATTGTTCTGATCTGTGCATCTCCATGGTGACACAATTTGACTGCTCTCGAGTATTTCTGACGTTTCAGTCGTGTTGGGTTGCACCTGTGGGCGGAATGACATGTTTGGTTGATGAGGGCAGAGTGTGTAGTCTCAAATATCGAAAATTTTGTGTAACTGTAACATAAATGTGCAAGAATATTAAAATAAAAGTCTGAACCTTGTCTGTTTTTAACAAGCTTGTCAGATTTAAATTATTCTTCTTGGTTTAGTTTACACTGAGCTTCCTGAGTGTTGGTATACATTCTCAATTTCTAGTTGTGTATTTTATGCGTTATGTGTTTTAATCATTACGTGTATATTTCAAGCAGTGTCGGCAGCTTGTGTTAAAATCCTCCTGACTCACTCATTGCACTGGTTATTTTCATCATTTTGTCGTCGTCATCCAAGGCTGTGTATAATTCATTACAACGATGCAGTCTGAACACGTAAACTACTCGGGGATACATAATACTGCTCAAAGAAATTTATCATACTCTGTATTTTTGTTCAAGACTGATATGACATACCAAAAATAATAAATTGCCTTTAGGAGTTTTATTTTTCCATGATTCGCTAGCTCTACGTTGGGTTTGTTGTAATACATCACCACACCCCTGGCTATCAGAAAGTCTACATTTTACCGAAAATCTCTACGGCCCAATGGTC